CATTACTGAATTAATCAACATTTTTGAACGATTCTTTTAAATGAACGATTCAACGACTCACTCATAAATACTTCACTTGTTTCATTACTGAATGAATCAACATTTTTGAACGATTCTTTTAAATGAACGATTCAACGACTCACTCATAAATACTTCACTTGTTTCATTACTGAATTAATCAACATTTTTGAACAATTCTTTTAAATGAACGATTCAATGACTCACTCATAAATACTTCACTTGTTTCATTACTGAATGAATCAACATTTTTTAACGATTCTTTTAAATGAACGATTCAATGACTCACTCATAAATACTTCACTTGTTTCATTACTGAATGAATCAACATTTTTGAACAATTCTTTTAAATGAACGATTCAATGACTCACTCATAAATACTTCACTTGTTTCATTACTGAATGAATCAACATTTTTTAACGATTCTTTTAAATGAACGATTCAATGACTCACTCATAAATACTTCACTTGTTTCATTACTGAATGAATCAACATTTTTGAACAATTCTTTTAAATGAACGATTCAATGACTCATTCATAAATACTTCACTTGTTTCATTACTGAATGAATCAACATTTTTGAACGATTCTTTTAAATGAACGATTCAACGACTCACTCATAAATACTTCACTTGTTTCATTACTGAATGAATCAACATTTTTGAACAATTCTTTTAAATGAACGATTCAATGACTCACTCATAAATACTTCACTTGTTTCATTACTGAATGAATCAACATTTTTTAACGATTCTTTTAAATGAACGATTCAACGACTCACTCATAAATACTTCACTTGTTTCATTACTGAATGAATCAACATTTTTGAACGATTCTTTTAAATGAACGATTCAACGACTCACTCATAAATACTTCACTTGTTTCATTACTGAATGAATCAACATTTTTGAACAATTCTTTTAAATGAACGATTCAATGACTCACTCATAAATACTTAACTTGTTTCATTACTGAATGAATCAACATTTTTTAACGATTCTTTTAAATGAACGATTCAATGACTCACTCATAAATACTTCACTTGTTTCATTACTGAATGAATCAACATTTTTGAACAATTCTTTTAAATGAACGATTCAATGACTCATTCATAAATACTTCACTTGTTTCATTACTGAATGAATCAACATTTTTGAACGATTCTTTTAAATGAACGATTCAACGACTCACTCATAAATACTTCACTTGTTTCATTACTGAATGAATCAACATTTTTGAACAATTCTTTTAAATGAACGATTCAATGACTCACTCATAAATACTTCACTTGTTTCATTACTGAATGAATCAACATTTTTTAACGATTCTTTTAAATGAACGATTCAATGACTCACTCATAAATACTTCACTTGTTTCATTACTGAATGAATCAACATTTTTGAACGATTCTTTTAAATGAACGATTCAACGACTCACTCATAAATACTTCACTTGTTTCATTACTGAATGAATCAACATTTTTGAACAATTCTTTTAAATGAACGATTCAATGACTCACTCATAAATACTTCACTTGTTTCATTACTGAATGAATCAACATTTTTTAACGATTCTTTTAAATGAACGATTCAATGACTCACTCATAAATACTTCACTTGTTTCATTACTGAATGAATCAACATTTTTGAACGATTCTTTTAAATGAACGATTCAACGACTCACTCATAAATACTTCACTTGTTTCATTACTGAATGAATCAACATTTTTGAACAATTCTTTTAAATGAACGATTCAATGACTCACTCATAAATACTTCACTTGTTTCATTCAAGGGGGTAATCCATCGACCGGAAGTTGAAGCCGGCCGGGTGCCGCCATGTTGTAGCAGAACTTCACTTGCGTTAGCATTTCCATTGACTCCCATTCATTTTTGCGTCACTTTGACAGCGAATAACTTTACATCTGAGGCGTTTAAAGACTCCATTTGTCCATTATTTATTTCTAAAGAAACACGACAATGTATAAAGGGCTCCATTACCTTCTATGTTACACTATGGCCCCGTAGAAACAGATTTAGTAAAAATAGGCTAACGATTGCGTCATAACCACTCGACTCTCTGTCGCGCTGTACAGAAGTTACCGTACAGACAGGAGGAGAAGCTCGCAGGCAATCGGGGGGACGTCCCGTCAAGGGAGAAGCCCATAGATAATGAGTCCATAAAAGCAACGGAATACATACTCCTGCTCACTCACGATAAAGGACTCTTTGCTCAAGTTCCCCGTCTCTGCAAGATTAACGTTGGCAGTTTTCACGCACAGCTACTAGAAGATTAACGTCTGTCAGACAGGTTGCTCACGTCATCAAGCTTAGTTTGAGTCGGTCTGAGTCTGCGCGTCAGGAACGGAAGTGCTCAAAAATCGCTAAAAGTGGGCTTCAACTGTCTCAACTGAGTTCCAATGAGATGGCTCTGTCCATTTCTTTTACTGTCTATGGTTTCATTACTGAATGAATCAACATTTTTTAACGATTCTTTTAAATGAACGATTCAATGACTCACTCATAAATACTTCACTTGTTTCATTACTGAATGAATCAACATTTTTGAACAATTCTTTTAAATGAACGATTCAATGACTCACTCATAAATACTTCACTTGTTTCATTACTGAATGAATCAACATTTTTGAACGATTCTTTTAAATGAACGATTCAATGACTCACTCATAAATACTTCACTTGTTTCATTACTGAATGAATCAACATTTTTGAACGATTCTTTTAAATGAACGATTCAGTGACTCACTCATAAATACTTCACTTGTTTCATTACTGAATGAATCAACATTTTTGAACAATTCTTTTAAATGAACGATTCAATGACTCACTCATAAATACTTCACTTGTTTCATTACTGAATGAATCAACATTTTTGAACGATTCTTTTAAATGAACGATTCAGTGACTCACTCATAAATACTTCACTTGTTTCATTACTGAATGAATCAACATTTTTTAACGATTCTTTTAAATGAACGATTCAATGACTCACTCATAAATACTTCACTTGTTTCATTACTGAATGAATCAACATTTTTGAACGATTCTTTTAAATGAACGATTCAATGACTCACTCATAAATACTTCACTTGTTTCATTACTGAATGAATCAACATTTTTGAACGATTCTTTTAAATGAACGATTCAATGACTCACTCATAAATACTTCACTTGTTTCATTACTGAATGAATCAACATTTTTGAACGATTCTTTTAAATGAACGATTCAATGACTCACTCATAAATACTTCACTTGTTTCATTACTGAATGAATCAACATTTTTGAACAATTCTTTTAAATGAACGATTCAATGACTCACTCATAAATACTTCACTTGTTTCATTACTGAATGAATCAACATTTTTTAACGATTCTTTTAAATGAACGATTCAATGACTCACTCATAAATACTTCACTTGTTTCATTACTGAATGAATCAACATTTTTGAACGATTCTTTTAAATGAACGATTCAATGACTCACTCATAAATACTTCACTTGTTTCATTACTGAATGAATCAACATTTTTGAACGATTCTTTTAAATGAACGATTCAGTGACTCACTCATAAATACTTCACTTGTTTCATTACTGAATGAATCAATGTTTTTGAACGATTCTTTTGAATGAATGATTCAATGACAAATAAATTTTTTAACAGTCCCTTGTCGCCACCTACTGGTGTAACGATGTAATTGATGCCATCGCAATTTGAAGTGTGACGTTACTTTCAAAAGGTGATTTGCTCTATTTTGATCGCTACCGTAGACATCAGTGTTTATATCCGAACTATAAACTTTTAATCACAGTACTTTTGTGATCATTTGTATTATTGTAAGACAGAAATAATGATACTCTGTGTGAACAGCTGCTTTCTCTGGATGAACACTAGATTTGAATGTTCACTGTGATCGTACTTGTTAAATGTTTAATAGACAGGCGAATCAATTTCATTTAGGAATAAGATCGTGTGGGTCTTTGAATCAAGATTGTGATCTTTTAACGATTAATCGTGCAGCTCTAATGATATTTATTCATATTTTAGAGTTGTCGGGACGGATTTCCGGGGAAACTGCATATTTTAGTAAATTTTTCTGTGTGTGTTTATAACATATCCCTAAATGAAGTAAAGAAGGTCAGGCTACTACTATACAATACGCAGTGGAAGAAGCTTGAAGCCACAACAACTGAACCTCGAATCCGAAAAGAGTGTGCAAGCAAGAAGGGAAAGTGACAACACCCGTAATAAACCATGAATCAACATAGTTTGCATAACATCACATATGACTAGGTTCTCAAAACAATGTAACAATCTCAAAACCAGTTACTCCTTATATATAGCCTTGGCAAGTTGTAGCTTCACTGTAATTATGTTCTCATGTAATTTCTAAAACAATCGTCTGAAAGTAACTTGTAGTTTTTTACCCTTTTTTTACCCTGTGGTTTTTTTGTTGTCAATTTTTAATGTAGTTTATGTGTCTATGTGGTGTTTTTAATATGCTTTAAGACACACCATGTGTAAATTCATAAGTCGACAGCATTGCTGAGTATTTCCTCCTTAAAACTGCAGTAAACCAATGACAGTCTCAAAAACACAGTTTGAAATCGCTGATGTTTCTGACGCCACAAACGACCTTGTAACCAATCAGATCAACGTGTGATCGTCAACCAGTGGATCTCTGAGTGAGTAAGTGAGTGGAGGCGGGGCTCATTTGCATATTCATAGAAGGGTGTCGAGTTACATTCAAGCTACTTTAAAGCATGACGATTTTTTTTAAACGTTTAAATATGTCATTTTGGTGATCAAAGGTGAGTTTTAAGGGATACAGTTATTGACTACAGGTGGAGTTTAAAATACAATACCAACTGGCTAAAAGTTACCCTTTAAACTTTTTGCTTCTCTTAAATCCCCTCGTAATCACTGCTAACTTGTTTCTGTTTGTAATTTCCCATCTCCTCAGTTGGAAGGGGAGGTTGGAGAAGGTGGGGAGGGTGAGGACGACGATGAAGACTGTTTTCCCTCCATCCTCCCTGATATGGACCGTGAGGGGCGAGTTCCTGAGGTCTTCGCTCACATCGATGAATTCGGCGTGCTGAGCTCCACGAAGCCCGCGACTGCAGGCCGGGACCTGGGCCTCGGAGTTGGCGGCATAAGCGGGATGGGCGTATCTGGATTGGGCCTGTCCGGAGGGGAGAACACAAGTATACTGGTGGCGCTGGAGAGGCAGAGACTGGACCTGGAGAAACACCGCTTGCAGGTGGAGTCCGAACGACTGCAGGTGGAGAAAGAGCGCCTCCTGGTGGAGAAGGAGAGGTTGCGGCAGGGCGAGGTGGAGAGAGAGAGGTTGCAACTGGAGAAGGAACGTCTACAGGTGGAGAGAGAACGATTGCGATTGGTCTTGCAACAAAACACGCCTCTCCAGCAAAGCCCCGCCCCTTCGACATCTGTAGCCACGCCCACAACGTCATCCTCCGCCCCCTCGTCATCCTCATTGGACGGAGAGAAGGACAGGAAGCTGGCTTGGCCAATGTTAGTGGATTTGGAGGCGGAGAGGCTGAAGTTAGAGAAAGAGCGCCTCCTGCTGGAGAAAGAGAGACTGCAGTTCTTCAAGTTTGAGTCGGGCAGACTGCAGATTGAGAAAGAGCGCCTGCAAGTGGAGAAAGAGAGGCTGCAGCTTCATAAAGATGGACAACAGATGACGCTGCACTCGTGAAACACCATAGATACAGTTGGGTAGGGGGGAAAAAATCATTTTTTCCATAGTTGCCCATTCATTTCTGTGGGAAAAACTAAAACATTTCTGTTTTTTTAACTTAATTTTATTTATTTTCCACCCGAAAAAAAATAAGCTGAAAGAAGTCAAGCAATGAATGCAAGCAGTTCATTAACACATACCTGTCAACACTCCCGTTTTTCCCGGGTTTCTCCCGTTTTTTAGCCCTATCTCCCGGACCCCTCCCGGTTTGTTATTTCTCCCGGGAAACTCCCGTAATTTGCATGGCCCAAACTCCTTTATGAATATTCGGACCAATATGTTTGTGTAATGTTGACCAGTTGCCAGATCTTGTATTAAATGCATAATATTCACACAATCCACACATCATATACAATCAATCATATACCCCCCCCCCCCCCCCATATAATTATACATTCCCCATATTCCATATAATCTAGTTGTTGAATTGCTTGTATTCACAGCACTTCTCTTCAGTGATGTTATTGTTAGCTAAAAAGAAAACTATAACAAATCGTTAACGTTAATTGACATAAAAATAAAATAGAATTATGTGAAATATAATTGGACTAAGTAGCAAAATTACTAAAACTGAAATAAAAATAAGAAATATGGAAATATTTAAAGCAAATATAGTAAAAAGGACAAAAGCACATATCAGAATTACTGAAACTTAAACCAAAATGAAAACTGAACATAAAAACGAATTCAAAATACAATAATAATGTATAAGTAATTAAAATATTGTCTTTCAATTTCGTTAATTCAGTTTTTTTTATTCTGATCTGAAGTGCACAAATCAACAAGCTTTCCTTTCTAAAAATAGGCAAATTGTACGGCATTTTTCTCTTATTTTTCCCTGCAGAAATGAATGGATATCTATGGTAAACAGGATTTATAGACGCGTCGCCGGTGTATGACGTGTTTCTGACTGTATTTATAGATCAGGTCAGCCCACATGATTGCCTTTTGCTCATGCACAACAACTCGTGAGACGGTTTTATGCTTGAGTATTGTGTTTTGATGTCTTGTAGAAGTTTATGCAGAAGTATCTGAATGCACTTTTCACATATTGAAAAAAATGCAGATGCTCCTGATGAACTTTTTACAAGATGTTCATATGTTCTTTGTTACCTTACTGTGTTTTAATGTAAAACAGAGAGCTTAAAAAGAGTTGGATTGTATAAGGGCTCTTATGAACGGCTGTGTTCACACTACAGGATGGATGGGGACCAAATCTGAGTCCTCGTTTATCTGGATTCATTTTAAATGTGAATGTATGGTAATGTCCAAATTGTTCCTATAAATGATTTATACGTTCATACGCACAGACACTTGTGAGGCCACGCTTTTATTTTGAAACAATCAGGTTTTTCTCTGGTCTTGACATCAAAGTGGTTTCTATGGAAACTTGTTTCCGCCACAGAATAAAAAAAAAACTTAAAGATAATTGCGAGTTTACATCTTTGAGAAATAAAGTCAGAATTGCGTGATATAAAGACAGAATTGCGTTATATAAAGTCAGAATTGTGTGATATAAAGACAGAATTGTGTGATATAAAGACAGAATTGCGTGATATAAAGTCAGAATTGTGTGATATAAAGTCAGAATTGCGTGATATAAAGACAGAATTGCGTGATATAAAGTCAGAATTGTGTGATATAAAGACAGAATTGTGTGATATAAAGTTGCAATTGCGTGATATAAAGTCAGACTTACGTGATAAACTCTGCGAGATATAAAGTCAGAATTGCGAGATATAAAGTCAGAATTGCGAAATATAAAGTCAGACTTTTTCTTGCAAGTGCGAGTTTATATCTCGCAAGTCTGACTTTATATCTCGCAATTTTGACTTTATATCACGCAATTCTGAAACTTGCAATAGTGAGAAAAAGGGTCATAATTGCGAAATATAAAGTCATAATTGTGAGAAAAAGGGTCAGAATTGCGAGATATAAAGTCATAATTGTGAGAAAAAGGGTCAGAATTGCAAGATATAAAGTCATAAATGTGAGAAAAAGGGTCAGAATTGCGAGATATAAAGTCAGAATTGCGAAATATAAAGTCAGACTTGCGAGAAATAAACTGACTTTTTCTTGCAATTGCGAGGATATTATATCTCGCAAGTCTGACATTATATCTCGCAATTTTGACTTTATATCACGCAATTGCGACTTTATATCACGCAATTCTGACTTTATATCTCGCAATTGCGACTTTATATCTCGCAATTTTGACTTTATATCACGCAATTGCGACTTTATATCACGCGATTCTGAAACTCGCAATAGTGAGAAAAAGGGTCATAATTGCGAGAAATAAAGTCATAATTGCGAAATATAAAGTCATAATTGTGAGAAAAAGGGTCATAATTGCGAGATATAAAGTCATAATTGTGAGAAAAGGGTCAGAATTGCGAGATATAAAGTCATAATTGTGAGAAAAAGGGTCAGAATTGCGAGATATAAAGTCATAATTGTGAGAAAAAGGGTCAGAATTGCGAGATATAAAGTCATAATTGTAAGAAAAAGGGTCAGAATTGCGAGATATAAAGTCAGAATTGCGAGAAATAAACTGACTTTTTCTTGCAATTGCGAGGATATTATATCTCGCAAGTCTGACTTTATATCTCGCAATTTTGACTTTATATCACGCAATTGCGACTTTATGTCACGCAATTCTGACTTTATATCTCGCAATTTTGACTTTATATCACGCAATTGCGACTTTATATCACGCAATTCTGAAACTCGCAATAGTGAGAAAAAGGGTCATAATTGCGAAAAATAGTCATATTTGCGAGATATAAAGTCATAATTGCGAGATATAAAGTCATAATTGCGAGATATAAAGTCATAATTGCGAGATATAAAGTCAGAATTTGCGAGATATAAAGTCAGAATTGCGAGATATAAACTGATTTTTTCTTGCAATTGCGAGTTTATATCTCGCAATTCTGAAACTCACAATTGTGAGAAACAAAGTCAGAACTGTGCGATAAAAAGTCGCAAAAACTTTTTTATTTTTTATTCTGTGGCGGAAACAAGCTTCCATAGGTTTCACCTTCAGATTGTGCACAAGCTGATCAAACGCAGATAAATGTGTTCGCAAAACTACAGGTGCTCAGACTGACTTTCGCTTATGTGAATAGTCTAATAAAAATCTCATATTTCACCCCATAGTCAAGAGGATAAAATAAGACTATTTAAGGCCCATTCACACCAAGGATGATAACGATGAAAATCCCTAAATCGCTCTAAATATAAAAGAATAGCAGAGCTCACACCACAACCATAACGATAACTGCACAGAGAAACAATATCATCCGATTCAGTTTCAAAAAACACATTTTCCAGCTGATGAATGATAAAAATACACAAAAAACAGCCAATCAGAATCCATCCTGGAGCATTTAAAGCGACAGGCGACAAAACTGCAGTGCGCTTATAATAAACAGAGCAAAATCGTCTGCTGGTGTGACGCTAATATAGTAATCGTATCGTTATCATTCTCGGTGTGAACGGGCCTATAAGCACAATACCTTTTCTTTTTCTTATTTTTTTCTTTGGATTTTGAGGTAAAACATGAGATTTTCTTCACAGGTTTGGTGAGGTTCCCTCATAAGGGCCTGTAATGTGAATGTAGTCAGTGTTTGTGTGTGTAGTTGTTTTCAGGCCTTGATGATCCCTGAAGTTCAGCTGTCGAGTGCTTGTTGGTTTCTGTGGTCGTGAAGTTCCTGTGGGACGTCACATTTAGGCCTACATTTATGCGTTGTATCCAGTCAACTTGCGTTGCATTGAAGGTATATGTTTTTCTTATTTGTTTTTTATTGTTTATTCGTGATTGTTTTATTTTTTCATCCGAAAACGTGCGGTTCTTAGGCCTGTTTCTCACATCTCACATAAGCAGCTCACATTTATTTAGTAAAGTTTCAAATCTGTGCCATTTTTTATTTTTATTTTACACTGATCTTTAGCAGAAAATGTAGTGGAGAGATTATCTGTGAACCCATTTATCAGCATGACATGTTTACTTTCTAAAAAAGTTGTTTTTTCCCCACACACAAAAAAGACAAATAAATTGATGTGCTGCTTCAAAACATGCAGATAATGAATAAAATGCAGCGACATGTTAAAGTTACACATGCAATGAAATACAAAAAAACACTTTCTACAAAGGAAATTGGACTGAATCCACATGATTTAAAGGGACAGTTCATGCAAAAAAACGATGCATGAACCTCACGCTTTTCCAAACCTTCATGACGTTCTTCTGTGGATCACACAAAAGAAGATATTTCGGTTGAGTAAATGATGAACGGTCTCTTTAAACGGTGTCAGGTTTGGGTTTTAATTCTGTGGAAATGACCATTAGTAATAGCTCACCCCTGATTTAATCATGTATGGCCATTAGTAAAGGAAACACTCCATGATGTAATCGTAGTGGCAAACAATTTTACATCACTGAATAAGAGACAAACATCCACCAGTTGTCTTTAAAGGTTATTTATTTTCTTGACAGTCATACAGAGTGTGACTGAGAAGGGAGGGCATCCTTTCTTCTTTATAGTCTCTAAACGAAGAGACATGTCCCATAACTAACACATTGTTGCATCCTCCGTTCTCGAGTTGTTACTTCCTCTATGTTATCACGAACAACATGTCCCATCCTATACCCTTGAGTTAAGGCCCTTTGTCTCAGTCATACATTACTCACACTTTTTTTTTTCTCAAGTCACGTATACAAGGTCACACACACATTCATACGGGTTAATAACACCAGAATCATGGGACTCCACATGCAATCCTCGTGCATTTTAATACCTTAATCTAAGCACTATGAATATAAGAAAATGCAAACGAATAGATCATATTAAATCTCTTCCACCACGCGAGTAACCCAGATATGATACAGGTGTGTGAAACAGGCCGCACGGTTCAGTTCAGCTTCTCTCTGTTATAAAGAAGAGGAAAACCAAAGCTGTTTGGTGCCATCATGTTTAACTGTTGTCTTTGAAGC